ATCATTTGTTGAAAAGATTATCCCATCTCCATTAAATTGTCCATGCTATTTATAAAACTCATTTGTTCATAAATGTGTGGACTATTTTTGAATTCTCTATTCTATTCCTTTGAACTGTTTGTTATTCTTTATCCCAATATCACATTGTTCTGATTATTATGGCTTTGTAATAAGTTTTAGAGTCATATAGTATAAATCTCCCAGCTTTATATTTCTTTTTCAAAGCTATTTTGGCTACTCTGGGTCCTCTGCGTTTCCTATGAGTTTGATTCAGCTTGTCAATTTCTACCCAAGAAACCTTGCTAGACTTTTCACTGACATTGCACTGAATTTATAGATCAATTTGGAGAGAATGTTTCATTCTGCCTTGTCCCTTTGGCAAGGTTTGTGCAGGAGAGTTTCCCAGCCCTCTCCCAGCAGTAAGAGACTTCTAATGGTATTGATAAAAGAATGTGGGCCCAAGACTATTTCCTTCCTCTTCCTGTCTTTTTCTTTACCCTTCCCCCGGCCACATTGGGTTTTCACCTATACCCTGGAGGTGACAGATGTCCTGACTCTTCTTCCACAGAGGCTTAAGGCTTTTGTTCTTACAGAAAAGGGTCAAAATGGGGCATCTTGTTTTTCTGGTAGTGACAGTCACTCCTCTCTTTCAGGCCTGTACAGTGAAGGAGACTCTCTCCAGCTTTTTGCCTGCCCTCACCCCTCAATCTTTCTCTAGAGGTCTGTGGAGAAGAAGCCTACAAGTAGGTGTGAATTTCCATTATATCTGTGACTACCAATGGTTCTATACTTGGCATTTAGCAACCTGTTAAAAAGTTTAGCCAAATATTTTTCATATGCTTGATTGGTGCCTGGTATCTCTTCCTGTGACTGTGTGCTCTGGCACAAGTGAGACAGTGTTTATATCTCACATCTTTTGGGAGGAGTCTGCCTTTCCGCAAACTTTGGGCCACGTAGTTGCTCTGTAACATAAACTCTCTTATGGTTTTAAGAACATTATGATTTTATAGTTTTTCTGACATTTTATTATAGTTTGGTGGAAGTGACACTCTTTCTACTTTCCTCATCCTAGGTAGAAACAAAACTCTCAAATTCAGCAACATTACAAAGTGAATTTCTCTTTTGTTAATCAATAATAGTATGGATTTGTGGAAGACATATTTATTCAGACAATGTTTGCTATACATTTGGATTCATAGACTTTTGGCAAACTTATTAGCCTGTGCCCATCCCCTCCCTATCCAAGATCCACATACATAGTTTTGAAATCATTATTTATATTAAGATTTTTAAAAAACTTAAAATACTTTTAACTATGGTTTTAAAATTATTAAGATCACTTATAATCTGATAGCTATTATAATTTAGCCATATTTTAAATACAAATCCCAAAATTTACCACTTTATTAAAAAAGAAATATGATTTCATTGGTACACGTGGTCAGAAATAGCTTCTAAATATATATAAGCTTTGAATTTCCTAATTCTCACATATTTAAAGCCACGGGTACTATAGTGGCTAGGAATTAAATTTAGGACAATGCCAAAAAGAAACATTTGTGATTCTGTAAGTATATTTCCCATAAAAATGCAAACTGATTTTGACAAATTATGGCAATTACATCTATTGCTTTTAGCACTTTGATACATATTTTCTGAATATATATAATACACAAATAAGAAAACTGAAGAATGCTGTCATTTTCAAACAACTTTGACAACCCATATGTTTAACCATAAAACATATGATCTAATTTTCCCCCCAATGATTGATAGTACTATATAGCATGTTTGACTTTCTAATTATTATTTACTATGATGGTCTAAAGGAAGAAAAATTTACTAAAAATTTACTAAAGGAAGAAAAATTTTTTTAAAAGTGTACTATTTTAGGGGAAGTGTGAGGGGGATAAGGGATAAAAACTTACCTGTTGGATACAATGTATACTATTCTGGTGACAGCAAACTAAAAGCCCTGACTTCAGCATTATGCAATTCATCCATATAACAAGAACACTATATCTTCTAATATTTTTTAATAAAAATTATTTTTTAAAAAGTGCACCATTTTTAATACATCACTTTATAGAATTTAATTGTTTGTGGCTTCATCACAAACAAATGGATTTAGAACTAATCTCTCATTTATACTGAAGAAAGTCAACTTACAAAGCAAAAGATGTAGTAAAAGTTAACTGGCACGGCAAAAGGAAAAAAATAGAAATGACTCATTAAAATCACTTTTTAAAAAAGTTGCTTTCACTATAAAATTGCTGACATACTAATCAGTACATTGAATCAGATAAGTGGTATCATGTAGTCAAAAATAGTCCCAATGAATTCAATACCAAATGAAAGTTTTTACTCTTAGACTCCAAAGATATCATCCATCAGAACAATCAATACCTCTCTTTTATATTAAAATCTGAAAGTAATAATCAAGAGAAGAAAAAACCCAAGGATTTCACAGATTTCCCAGCAGCACAGTGCTGGAATCTATTATATGTTCTACTATTCTTGAGTTAATTTTTAATGGATGATTATTGAAAGTGCCGCTACTGCTAATAAACTGCTTGATTTCTTTGTATACACATATTAAACCACTACACATTTCGAAGTGAAATACATGTTACTTCCTCCTGAAATTGCCATAATTCAGGGTTCAAATATTCTTAGGAGCATTTATCTGCTAGAAAAGATGTGGTTTTTGATTCCCTTGTGATAAGGTGAATTTCCGTCATTACCGTCAAGGCCTCTGTGTATGATAGGATTGAATTCCTTCAAGGTCACCCAAGTCCTGAGAGCACTATAGGATTATTTTGGCACTTTGAGTATTCTATTTTCTGAAACATTTGGCAATATCTCAGAGTTTCATCAGAGAAAAAAATAAAACCCAAACAATTATGGGAAAAAAGTCATGATGGACTATATTTGCCATGGCAATCATATTCGTTCAAGAAATATTCAACATGGAGATATGTACCAATTATTAAATGAAAGATTTGGTTTCTATTTAAAATGCTCTATTTATATCTCACTGGGTATATATTTGTCTTAGTCAAGGCTGGCATAGGTCTGCTCTCCTAACTTCTGTATTACATGTAAAATTAAATGGAAAAAATTTCAAATGTATTAAATCCAACTGTTGTAAACCATTTCTAAGTAAAACTTCCTCCTATTAGCTAACACCTTGGTTTCTTTTATTCCTATGATTTTTATTGACTTATTAAATGTCAACTGGACATTATTTAATGATATTGCTGTATAACAAAAATGTAAATATTGCCATCCTGTGGTCAGACGTTGATATATACACAGTCCCTGACTTAATGATGGTTTGACTTATGATTTTTTGACTTTATGATGCTGCAAAAGGAATACATATTCAGTAGGTTCCTTGACTTGTGATGGGCTTATGTCAGCATAAACCCACTGTAAGTTGAAAATATCATTAAGTGCTTTTAGTTAGCCCTGACTTCAGCATTATGTAATTCATTCATATAACAAGAAACACTGGCACTCCCTAAATGTATTGAAATAAAAAAAAGAAAGAAAGAAAATATTGTTAAATGGAAAACAGACTCTGGACTTAGGATATTTCCAATTTAGGATGAGTTTATTGGGATGTAACCCCATTGTAAATTAAGAAGCATCTTACATGTGAAACTGAAAACAATGGCACTTTCCTAAAGAGGGATATTTAGTCTTAAAATCTTCCCAAAGATATTTTCCTACCAGCTGAGAAAGATGATTGTTTTATTAGATAAAACATTCCCCAAGAAAACAAAATTCACTTTCAAAATGAATTTTGAAATTTCAAAATTTCAAAAAATGATTTTTTTAAAAACACTAAATTAAATGAAATACCATAGACCATAAATGGTAACATTACCCAGTCGAAGGGCATCAAATCAGTTCTGATATTATCTTAGGAACATTTATTTGCTTATATCTCTATATTGCAATGATTACTTTTTAAATCATCATGAGAAGAGTTTTATAGACAATTTTCCATAGGATTCTAAAATATAATAGTAACACTAATGTATTATTGTTAAAAAAGTTTAAAAAAAGTTAAAAAAAAATAGGAAGGCAAAATTTGAAAAGTTGGAGCAAAAGAGGAAAAGAAAACAAATGAAAGAGTTAAAACTTAAACCTTATACTGCATTATCTTACTGTCTTGAGCACTTCTTCCCAAAACCAAATGCACAGTTACACTTGCAATTATACTAGTGTTCAATAATAAGCAATCTCTCACATATTAGTTGAAAATTAAATAAAAATCACAGTTATAAAAGAAAAACCATTCCATTGCTCAAAATATTCCTAATATTTCTTCCTAGATATGGACACAAAGTTTTTAAAAAGAAGAGATCTTAATTTCTGCCAAATTTCAGAATTTAGGTTATATAAAATGTAAGTGACTAAGAAGCAAGAAGGCAAACAAAGCACAAGGCAACAGCATTGTAGAAACATAAAGACAACATCAAAATGTTTTAATGCTGATTGTGGAATTAGAATTAACATAATTTTGATAAACAACAATACAGAAATGTTCATTCATATAATAGCATGTAACATGAGAATCAATTATTTTTACGTTATTCTTGGTCAGTATCACCACACAATACTAAATAGCCTTCACAAAGCACATTAACAGTCATAATTCCTGCCTTTAGCATATTATAATTTGAAACAGATCTATATATAGATAAAAAGACAATGACATTCAATTGCATAAGACCCAAAAGGTATTAATAAGGTTAAAGGAAAAACACCAGGTAACAGCTTTTAAAATCCATTAGAAATAGTGCTTATTGGTAAAAAGTACTAATTTACAGTTAAATATGATATCAGATTCTTCATCCAAATGGACTAAATGAGAAAAAAACAAAAAAACTTAGAGACAATATATATAAGCAAAGAATTCTAATTATATATTTGTTCAATATCAGAACAAATATCAAACTATTATATTATTACATGAAAACAAGTCTTACCTTGTATTAAACAACTTTGTGCCAGTTTGTGTTCAACTTGCTTAACATCGTGGTCTTGCTTTTGTTGATACTAAATAATTTAAGACATGAAGTCATAATATTATTTTTTAAGTTACTGAAAAAGATCTAAGTAGTCAAATTATTCAAGTGTTTATTATATAAAAATTTAACATTATAACAGACTTATCTTCTAATTGTCTTTTTTGTCATTATTTATTAGCACTTCTACCAACAAATAAGTGATGGAATACATATTACAGAAGAAAAGATATTATATAAAAAAACAAGATTTAGATAATATACACAGATTTCAAATATTCAAGTGATTTCTGCCTATTTCAACTTGAGTATTCAGAGCTACTTATAAATCGAGCTATTCTAGATTTATATATACATGATGGGTTTAGACAGGATAAGAACTTAATTTGACTGCAAACTCTTCCATATAGCCATCTTTTGCATAAAATAAAAATTTGCATAATGCACTGCAATTTTCAAAGAGCTTTTATATAAAGTAACATGTTTTAATTCTCACAAGTGTAAGTAGGTATTGTTATCCTGTTTGCCATTCAAGAAACATATGCCCCACCATAAACCCCGTCATCTCTCTTCCTTACTTATAACCTAATCAAATTAATTTGAGATTTATGATAGTCATAAATCTCACAATCACACATCACAAATTATGATAACTTTAGCTATTTTCTTTCTTCCCTTTGTTTTATGAGCTTAATGATGAATGAGTCCCTAAAAACAGCTATAAGATATACTTTAACAGGAACTTCCAAAGACATCTCTGGACCCTTATCAATAGATACAACCAGGGCCGGGTGTGGTGGCTCACGCCTATAATCCTACCGCTACGGGAGGCCAAGGTAGGAGGATTGCTCGAACTCAGGAGTTCAAGACCAGCCTGAGCAAGAGCAAGATCCCATCTGTATTTAAAAAAAAAAAAAATAGATACAACCAGTATCTGAAACACCTGTCCACGTGGACTCTAAAGTAACCACTCCAGCTCTCGCAGACACCTTTTTATCTACAGGTAAAAATGAGTGGCTTTAGAATACAGTAATAACAACTAGCCTTCATTTTAGTCTTTTAAATAGTTTAGTGCCATGAGTTAGGTAGCTTTCTGCCTTGAAGGAAATATTATTTTGATGTGTATTTCTAAGATGGTACTATGACTATCTTTGGCTCTACTAAGACTTAGAACCTCCCTATTGGTTCCCTTACTTACCCACAGTGAACAAGAGAGCTAACCTGCCTGTGTTCCAATCTAGCTAAGTTATTTTCTAGCTTTGACCTTGAGCAAGTTACTTAACTTCCCAATACCTTGATTTCCTGATTCACAGGATGGGAAGAATAATAACAACTGCCTTGTTAGGTTGTTATAAAGATTAAATGAGTTAAAATATGTAAAGAACTTAGAACAGTATCTGGCAGAATAAACACTATAAATAAATGGGTGCTATTATTATTTAATACTAGTAACTATACTTCCCTGGTAGCTAAAGAAATCTAAGAAAGGAATTTTTTGATGCCCATTCTTTTGGTAACACTTCATATAATAGTTTTGTTTTAAAACAAACCAAATAAGGAAAGCAGTCTTTCATTTTCTTAAACAGTTTTATTGAGGTATAAGTGATAGACAATAAACTATACATATTTAAAGCGTACAATTTGCTAAGTTTTGATATATGTATATATACATGAAACTAGTACCACAATCAAGATGTATAATGAACATATCCATCATTCTCAAAAGTTTTCTCATATCCCTTGTATTTGCTCCGTCTTGCCCTCCCCACCTCCATCCCCTATTACTCCAAGCAAGAACTGAAATGCTTTCTGTTCCTACAGATTAGTTTGCATTTTCTAGAATTTTATATAAATGAAATCACAGAGTATTTTTTGTTTTTTGGTCTATCCTCCTTCCTACAACATAACTTTTGTAGTAATTATCCATATTATCATATGTATTCATAGTACATGCCTTTTGTTGCTGAGTGGTATTCCATTGTACAGGATATACCACAATTTGTCCGTTCACCAGTTGATGGACATTTGTGTTATTTCCAGTTTGTGAGCACTACAAATATAAAGTTCATGTATAAGTCTTCATGTAAACATGTGTTTTAGTTTCTCTTGGGAAACCAGGAATAAAATATGCATGAGTTATATGGTAGGTGTATATTTTACTTTTTAAGAAATTGCCAAGCTCTTTTCCAAAATGGTTGGATCATTTTACATTCCCATCAGCAATATGTGAGAGTTCAGTAGTTTCATATCCTTGCTAACACTAGACTTGACAGCCTTTTAAAATTTTTTTTTTTTTTTTTTTTTGAGACAGAGTCTCGCTTTGTTGTCCAGGCTAGAGTGAGTGCCGTGGCGTCAGCCTAGCTCACAGCAACCTCAAACTCCTGGGCTCAAGCGATCCTCCTGCCTCAGCCTCCCGAGTAGCTGGGACTACAGGCATGTGCCACCATGTCCGGCTAATTTTATATATATATATCAGTTGGCCAATTAATTTCTTTCTATTTATAGTAGAGACGGGGTCTCGCTCTTGCTCAGGCTGGTTTTGAAAGCCTTTTAAATTTTAAATATTCTAATGAGTATGTAGCAGTATCTCACTGCGGCTTTAATTTGCATATTCCTAATGACTAACGATGTTGAGAATCTTTTTATGTGCTTATTTACCATTCATATATCTTCTTTGGGTGAAGTAACTGTCCAAATATTTTGTTCACTTTTTAATTGGAGTGTTTGTTTTCTTAATATTGAGTTCAGTAAGTTCCTTATATATCCTGTATACAAGTCTTTTAACAGGTAAGTGACTTGCAAATATTTTCTTCCAGTTTGTGGCTTGCCTTTTCATTCTCCTTACAGTATGTTTTGAAGATCAGAAGTCCTTATTTTTGAAGACCAACTTAAACATTTTTTTATGAATAGTGGTGCTTTTGGTATCATATCCCCAATATTTTTGCCTAACTCTTGGTCACAAAAATTTTTCTTTTATATACAAGTTATTAATAGATATTTGTTCATTATTAACTAGTTTTTCCTAATCTTTTGGTCACAGGTTGGTAATACTGAACCCTAAATAATGGTGTGTTCCATAAACAAATCTTTATCTTACATTACTGTTTTCCTCCACAACAGCATGCAATGCTGCAAATACCATGCAATGAATAGTTAATGAATAATTAATCCACAAAGAGAAATGAATTGCCAGTACACAAATACAAAACTGTATTTAATACCATGAACATTTTTTAGATTAACATCTTGGAGACTAGCACTCTGGGAGGCTGTGGTGAGAGGACTGCTTAAGCTCAGGAGTTTGCGACAAGCCTGAGGCAAGAATGAAACCCTGTCTCTCCTAAAAATAAAAAAAATTAGGTGTTCATCATGGCACACACCTATAGTCCCAGCTACTCAGAAACCTGAGGCAGGAGGATTACTTGAGCCCATGAGTTTGAGGTTATAGTGAGCCATGATGATGCCACTGTACTCTACCTAGGGCAACAGAGTGAGACTCTGTCTCAAAAAAAAAAAAAAAAAATAGAAAGCAATTATGCTGTGTTTTCAGTACATACTATTGCATGGGCAATTGGCTTCACTCAGTATGACATTTTTTATGCTTTCATGGAACACATTTTACAAATTTTAATGTAATAAACATTTATTGTGCACCGATTATGTGCAAATTACTGAGATAGGTATTACATGGAGATACAGAGATGTAAATGATAATAGCTACCATTACTAAGCACCAGACATTTTATATATATATATCATTTTTATCCGTTAAAGATGAGGAAATCAAGGCTTTAAAAAGGCTAAGTAATGTTTCCAAGAGCACAGCTAGAAACTGGATATACTAAGATTTAAATCTAGGCTCGAGTTAGTAAATAAAGGAGGCATGATTTGAGGCTGTCTGACTGGAAAGACTATGTTCTTGATAGAGTTCTATTTTAAAGCAATACTGTTACAAGTCTCATTGAAAGTACAAGTGCTATTAATTTAGTACCTGAGAAAAATCTTCAGCTGCTCCTGGTAAATTACCATCATTTTCTTGTGCTGGCAGAAGTGTTGTGGGAAGAACAAAGTTAGAATTTGGCTGCAATTCCAATTCTCCCAAACTCATTGGACCATGACTAGCACATGAATCTTCATCAATACCATCTGTTATCAAAAATGTAAACCAAAAGATAAATTGTTAAATTTATTTTAGAAAAAGAACAAGTAAATGACTGAAACTTACCAATATTTCTCACCTGCTGAATTAGAAATAACAGAGTACTTTAAACAAGAACACCTGGTACCCAGCCTTCATTGCAATTAAAATCAAAGCTCATGTAGAATGCAAAAAGCACTTATGTTTAAACAAATCCACTGAATATTCTAAGTTTCCAATCAACAAGTTGTCCATGTCACTGATCCGCATGCCCCTTTGCACACACTAACTCCTAACACCCCTGTTTACCTTTTCTATCACTAGGCATCAATAGAATACTTTCTATCTAACATGTAATCTTAGGCCAGGTGCAGTGGCTCATACTTATAACTCCAGCACTTTGGGAGGCCAAGGCAGGAAGATCACTTGAGCCCAGGAGTTGGAGACTAGCCTAGGCAACATGGTGAGATCCTTCTCTACAAAAAATAAGAAAAATTAGCCAGCTGTGGTGGTGTGTGCCTGTAGTTCCAGCTACTGGGGATGCTCAGGCAGGAGGATTGCTTGAGCCCAGAAGTTTGAGGTTGCTGTGAACTATGATGCTGCTGCTATACTCTAGCCTGGGTGACAGAGTGAAACCCCGGGGATCACAGTGGAGGGAGAGAGGGAAGTAATCTTAAAGGGTAACTTCTTGGTTAGAAAATGTTGGTATTTCTTAGCTCTGTTCTGTAGGTACTTTTCTTCAAAAGATCAAGCTCCTCTTTTTTTCCATATAAATGGCATCTCAATCAAATCAATAAAAAGAAGACAAAAGCAGAGATATCTATGCATCTAATAATAATATTACTGTACATTTGTAATGCACTTTATATTCCAAGCACAAAAGTGTACATTATTTAAATTCATTTAAGCTTCACAATCATTCTGTAAGGTAGGCAGGTCGAATAGTATTATGGTCATTTAGTATTATGGGATAGAAGTACCATCTTCCACTGATGAAACTAAGATTCAGAGAAGTAACTGTCCAAAAATCAGAGAACTAGGAAGAAGCACAGAGGAATGAAGTCACTGCTCTTTATCACATTCTTGCTAAAATATTTCTAAGAAAATTCTGTTTTTCCTAATTAATGGCAACCTATTAAATATAGCATAGTGTAGTATATCTCATTTTAATCAACAGAAATAGACCTGAAGAGTTACACATAAACTAAATTGTTTTAAGTGAAATGATATTTTAAGACACCATGGATATTTTCCATTTAAAGGCAATATGTTGATGATTTCCTTGTAGCAAATAATCACACTCTGATCTTTTTATGTTAATCTAGGTTTTTAAGGGGGTTTTGCATAAAGCAAACTATATCCACTGAGTTTTAATTTATGCCTTCATAGTATTCAATCTGCATAAAACAATTTGTCAAAACAATTAGCTGGTTAATTCTCATTTAATTATCTAGCATAAGATTAATTTAAATAATGGTAATTCCCATAATTTAGATTAACTAATGAACTAGGTCTTATATTTGCCTCTTTACATTATTTAAATGCATTTTTTTTTTTTTTGAGACAGAGTCTCACTCTGTTGCCCAGGCTAGAGTGCCATGGCATCAGCCCTAGCTCACAGCAACCTCAAACTCCTGGACTCAAGCAATCCTCCTGCCTCAGCCTCCCGAGTGGCTGGGACTACAGGCATGCACCACCATGCCTGGCTAATTTTTTCTATATATTTTTAGTTGGCCAATTATTCTATTTTTAGTAGAGACGGGATCTCGCTCTTGCTCAGGCTGCTTTCGAACTCCTGACCTTGAGTGATCCTCCTGCCTCGGCCTCCCAGAGTGCTAGGATTACAGGCGTGAGCCACCGCACCCCACCGGCATTATATATTTTAAAATTAAAGGTATATTTGTCCTTGGACCCAGTAACTACTCCTGGGAAGATATTCTATAAATACAAAATACAACAATATGTTAGGACATATGTGTGTGAATAAGGTAAATATCTGCCAATAGAGAAATAACTAAATAAATTATTAGAAATCTACACTGTAAGGTTTTATTGAATCATTAAAAAAATGAATTTAAGTAATACCAGTTGACCTAGAGTAATCTACAGGATTTACTGGGTAGAAAATAAAATTCAGGAAAGTGTGCATGACATGATCTCAAGTTGTAAAATAATGTCAATCACACATATTATATATATTGCATGTGTGTATATAATTATATGCATAAGAAAAAACAGAAGGTTATATACCAGAATCTTTTTAATTTTTAAAAATTTTTTTTGAGACAGAGTCTCATTCTGTTGCCTGGGCTAGAGTGCTGTGGCATCAGCCTAGCTCACAGCAATCTCAAACTCCCGGGCTCAAGCAATCCTTCTGCCTTAGCCTCCCAAGTAGCTGGGACTACAAAAATGCACCACCATGCCTGGCTATTTTTTTCTATATATATTTTTAGTTGTCCAGCTAATTTCTGTTTTTTCAGTAGAGATGTGTTCTCGCTCTTGCTCAGGTTAGTCTCCAACTCCTGAGCTCAAATGATCCGCCCGCCTTGGCCTCTCAGAGTGCTAGGATTACAGGTGTGAGCCACCACGCCCAGCCTATATACCAGAGTCTTAACATGGGCTACCTGGGGTAAGGCATACATAGATGGAACAGGAGAAAATGGGTGGAGGGCACTCAAAAAGTACATAATATCTTTCAAGTCATATAACACCCTATCACTTAACAGATATTTACTATGTACTATGCATTACCTACCCTGCTAGATGTCAGTAATATAATAGTGAACAAGATAAAGTCCCCACCCTTACATGAGATTACAAAATCAATGTGATAAAAGAAACATTAGCCTAGTGACCTTAAAGGATTATACAGAGTACATATGACAGGCATCTTAAGTGATATGGGGTCAGAAAAGGATTCCGTAACAGCAGTCATAACAATGCTGAACTTGCTGTGTCTTCTAACAAACTCAAAGTATGTCATTGAGTGCGGGTGTCCTATCTGTATAACGCAAGTTAGACCTTTGTAAGAGAAACACTTAATATTATTTCATTCAAGTCAAATTTAATTTAATTAATCATAACTTGAAATCCCTAATTTTACTTTCTGAAAATCTTATTGTCATGGAAAGCAACAGCGGGAGATTTTCAGAGAAGACTATGTTCACCTACAATTGCTAGTACCAATAGCAATTTTTGGTCTGGGATATCTAATAGATTACTTCATTTGTACAAAAGCCAAAGGCATCTCAAATTCAATATGTATAAAACCCCATTCACCCTATTTCCTCCTAATTCTGTCCTCCCTCCATATCTCTCTAAATAAATGGGATGAACATCTAGCCAATCATTCTAGCCAGAAACCTGGGGATTTCTTGGGCTTTTCCCTTCTTTTGCACTTTGCACATTCAAACTAAGTCCCGTCCATTCTCCTTTTTTTTCCTTCTTTTTTATTTCAGCATATTATGGAGATAGAAATGTTTAGGTTATGTATATTGCCCTTGCCCCACCCAATTATTTCAGCATATTATGGGGATAGAAATGTTTAGGTTATGTATATTGCCTTGCTTCAAGCATGTCCATCCACCAGATGGTGCACATCACACCCATTAGGTGTGTATATATCCATCACTTCCTCCCCCCTCCCACCAACACTGATGAATGTTATTACTACATGTGCACTTAAGTGTTGATCAGTTAAAACCAATTTGATAATGAGTACATATCTCCTTAATTGTCTCTCAAATCTCCCCTTTTTTAATATCCTCACTGCTGAATATCTCATCAGCTTTACTTTAATAGTTGTCTGATCAGGCTCCTTGCCTCCAGTCCCAACTTTTCTAGTCTATCCATCATATTGTATATCAGGTGATCTCACTAATTAAAAGGTAAATATGATCATATAACTCATTTATTTATAATCCTTAAAACGCATTCATGAATCTCACACAACATTCAGAAGTGATAGAAATTCAAGCCTGAATTTTCCATGGGAATAAATACAAAGTAAGATTGACGTTATTTCCCATTGTGTACACAAATGAATCCTTACTGTCTTAGAGTAAATCCCAGAACTCCTTGATATATTTCCCAGAGTTTTTCATGACCTGGTTTCTACTCACTACTGCAATCCCACTACATCCTAAGCTCTAATTGACTGACAAAGTACTATATTTTCTTAATTAACCCTTGCTATTTCTTAACTTGTCCCATCTCATTGTGTATTCTGCCTGGAAGGCCCCTCCTCACTTACCATGTGGCAATCATCTATCCCTCTTTGAATACTCACTTTGAGTAAGACTCTCCTCATCTATGAATTCTTTCCTGAATGCCTTCTCCAACTACAGTTGACTTGTACCCCAATCCTACATGGACTTCTTCACAATAACTACAGTAATTTATCATGTTTTTTTACCTTCTCATCTGCTACCGCTACTAGAGAAAAAACTCATTGTGGATAGGGCCTTACCAGATTTCATATTCCTAGCACTTGGCACATGCTCAGAACATAGTAGGCATTCAAAAATGTGTTCTAAATGAATAAGTAAATGAATAAACTGTAACATTCTTATCATAATTCACCATCTGGCTAATTCCTTTAAGATTCAATTTCACATCAGGTCTTGTGGGAAACCTTTTCTAAGCCCTCACATGTGAGTTGAGTTCTTCCTCTCCACTACCACAGCAGTCCATGTTATTGTACTACACACATTATATATATATATATATATAATTTATTTATTTATTTTTTTGAGACACAGTCTCACTCTGTTGCCCTGGCTAGAGTGCTGTGGCGTCAGCCTAGATGACAGCAACATCAAACTCCTGTCCTGAGCTCAGGCAATCCTTCTGCCTCAGCCTCCCGAGCATGCGCCACCATGCCCGGCTAATTTTTTCTACATATTTTTAGTTGGCCAATTAATTTCTTTCTATTTTTAGTAGAGATGGGGCTCACTCTTGCTCAGGCTGGTTTTGAACTCCTGACCTTGAGCGATCCTCCTGCCTCGGCCTCCCAGAGTGCTAGGATTACAAGCGTGAGCCACTGCGCCTGGCCTACACACACAATATTATAATTATTTATTTCTCCCACGCTAGTTTGTAAACTTGAGAGAGATGTTTTTCATGTCTGAATTTTGAGTGCTTAATGTGGCACTAATATAGTACCAGGTACACAGCAGGTATTCAATACAGGTTTTCTGAGTAAATGGAGAGCTGTGATTGATAGTACATCCCAGGGTCCACATAGCTCACTCAAAATACCAGTTTACATTTAAGGGTTCCCAAGACAATTTCTCAAAGCTGATTTTGCGTCTTTTAGTTATGCAACCCAACCTCAGAGCTTCAGAAATGGAGGCAGGGATAGGGGACTACAGGTTGCAAGTAGGACACTTCCTGAAAATTAGCAGGGGTGGGGACAAGCAAAGTAAGAATAGATGAGCCTCTATAAGCAAAGTTACTAAAAATCAAGTTAAAAGGCATGATATTAGCCACCAGCAGAAAATCTTGAAACAAGAACATATTAGTTCTCTATAGGCACAGTTCTTTTAAGCAACTATGGATAGTTTCTCATTCTATTAAATATATATGAGATGGTTCTTTCACATACACCAAGCAATATTAAATGGAACAACACTTACTATATAACCAGGCACTGTGATTACTAATTTACCCGCAATGTCACTTACTGTCACTAATAAACTTATGAGGCAGAAACTATTAATATTACCTCTAAGAGAGCCCCAATTATCCCTGCCTCCTAGTATTCTCATCTTTTTGGAGTTCTCTTATATTGTTCCAGAACTGGTCTGTGTTATCAATAGAATATGACAGAATTGATGGCATGTCACTTCCGAGATTAGGTTATAAAAGATATTATGGTTTCCATCGTGATTGCTCATTTTCTTCTTGGGTCAACCACTCTCAGGGAAGCCTGTTACTATGTCATGAACAGCCCTAGAGAAGTCTGTGTGATGAGGAAGTGAGAGGCCTCTTTCCAATAGCCACATGAGTAAGCTTGCAAAGCTGATCCTCCAACTCTAGTCAAATCTTCAAATGACCTCAGTCAATGCTATCACCTTCACTGCAACCTCAGGAGAGATCCTGACAGCCACCCTGTTAAGCCACTACCAGATTCAGGATTTTCAGAGTTTTAGCATTGTGTGAGATGATAAATGTTCGTTTCTTTCAGCTGCTAAATTTGGGGGTAATTTGTTACACAGCAATAGATAAGCAGTAACAAATGTCACCGCCACTTGATAGATGAAGAAATCTGGGTTGAAGAACATTAAGTTACTTTACCAAAGATACACAGAGCTGGAATTCAAACCCAAATTCTAAAAGCCCAAACTCTTAGCCACTCTGCTATACTGCCTCATATATATGCTCAATCTTATGTTATGACATCTTATTTATTATTTTTTCCAATTAAATTAAACAAATACCTACAATATACCTAATATTAAAAATGCACTGTACCACAGGTAATCTGCTAGGTGCTACCTGAGATACAAGGAAGGACTGGATAGGATTTTTTTTATTTTGGCATATTATGGGGGTACAGATTTTAAGGTTTCAATAAATGCCCATTTCCCCCCCTCCCCCCAAAAGTCTGAGTCTCCATCATGACCATCCCCCAGATGGTGCACATCTCACTCATTATGTATGTATATACCCACCCCCCTCCCCCCTCCCACCTGCCCAATACCCTATTACTGTAGTACCTATGTGTCCACTTAGGTGTTAGTCAGTTAATACCAGTTTTCTGGAGAATATATCTGGTGCTTGTTTTTACATTCTTGGGATACTTCACTTAGTAGTATGGGTTCCAGCTCTAACCAGGAAAATATAAGATGTGCTATATCACCATTGTTTCTTAGAGCTGAATAGTACTCCATGGTATACATATACCACATTTTATTAATCCATTCTTGGATTGATGGGATTGTCTACGGCCACACCACCCTGAACGCGCCCGATCTCGTCTGGATAGGATTTTACTCCATAACAATTTAGCAAGTACCTTGCTGTTCTCAAGTACCTTATAGCTCGCAAATGATCTGTGAGCGCCATCTAGTGTCAATTTTTTAAACTGCAATCTGCACAGTTAGCAGTATATAAATAAAAGTCATTTTATGCCATTTGAAGCCTACTAATTTGAAAGAATGTAAATAATTTAATACCCTCATTATGTGCACAAAATGATAAATAATGCCAATCTTTACATTTTTTCCCATGGAAAATTCAGTCTTGAATGTCTTTCGATTCTAAATGATATAAGGTGTTCATTCAGTATAAAACTAACCCTTTAAATACTCTATACCAATGTTTTTCTAACTTCAGGCATTTCTATTTCTGGCAAATATGCGTAGTTATGGAAGTTTCTCTTAAGTGATGCAACAATAGGTATGGAAAAATCGGTAATGAGAATATAGTCAATCCTCATTAAATTGCAAATTATATACGTGCAAATTTATCTACTGGCTAAAATTTATTTGTAACCCCCAAATCAATACTGGCAGAACCTTTGTGGGCATTCGTGAACATGTGCAGAGTAGTAAAAACTTGCATTGCCTGCTGTGCACTTTCCCATTTGAGGCTGAACAAGGATAAATTCTGCCTTCTTATTTCAGCTCTTATACTATAAACAAGTGACCTTTTCACAATATATTTAATTCTGTGTTTTTCACATTTTGTGACTTTTTTTTTTTTTTTTGGTGATTTCACTGTTTAAAATGGCCCCCAAGCATAGTGCTGAAATACTGTTTAGTGTTCCTATGCACAGGAAGGGTGTGATGTGCCTTCTGGTGAAAATATGTATGTTAGATAAGATTCCTTCAGACATAAGTTATAGTGCTAGATAATTTAATGGCTATGAGTTCAGTGTTAATGAATCAACAATATATATAAGATTGCTTTAAACAGAAACACACATAAAACAAGGATATGTATAAATGAGTTGATAAAAAATGTTACCATCAGAGGCTCATAGGAACTTAACCCTGTATTTCTCCTAGGAGCAATGGTTCAGTATTTGCTTATATGTTCGTGGTACCCATAGAAATAACTACCACAGATTAGAATTAACTGTATATGCTAGTGATTGGTATTTTCTGTTCTATCCTTATTCCAAGATGTTACAGCAGAAAGTTTAGTTGCTCAAGTTCTAAAATAGTCCTGAGTGTACTGAGCACTGTGTCTGAAATTCATATAAAGAATAAATTTCTACAGTATTATCTAATTTAACTTTGTCCTAAACAAGATGTATTATGTCAGTTTTGATGAGCTAGTCATATTTTTTTAGTATATATTAAAATAAATGCATCACTGTTAAAAATTTTTATGTGTATGTATGTGTATTACCAAAATTATCTCATGCATCACCCAATGGTTCACGTACCAACACTGATACATCAAACACATTTGTGGAAACACTGCTATATATACCACACAAAAAGTTATTATCCAACTTTTCAATTATGAACATCCTTCTAGTAAAGAAATTTTGCAAACATCCATCTGAAAATAATTATACTTTTCTGAATTCAGATTAGGAATATTACTGTAGATTATAATACAAAACAGAATATAGCATTCAGCATGGAAATAGCACAAAGAAAGTGTGATGGGATATAAAGTGAATATTCTAATAGATGACACTGCAAGAAATAGTATTTTAGTGTATACCTGAAACTGTATCAAATTGCTGAGGTAATGGCTTAGAATCACACTGTTGATTCAAAGTCTCTGCATTAGCAACAGGCTGCTGACCATAGAAAGAATGTCCCAGTAAGATGTTCTCTGTTGCTGCTGTCAGCCTGGGCCTTTGTCCTTCACTAAGTTCACCCACACTGTTTTCCAAGTCCTTTAAAAAGTAGAAACAATTATTAAAACCATTATATTAAAATAAAGTCAAAACAAGAAATATTTGTCAAATATATGATCCATACCACTTGACTGATTAAAAGGTATTTTAGAAAGTGTCCATTATGCTACATATAAATTACATGCAAGAAAAGTTTAAAAAGTTAAGTTAATAAAGCATCTAGTGACAGGCTTCATTTTTAATATATTTTATGAAGTTAAATATTATCCTTTTTCAACCTCCAATTAAATAGCAATAAAACATGTACGAAAAATTCTAACAATTTAAACACTAAATGCTGACACACGTTACACATTGTTTATATGGCTTAAAATTAATCCTAGTACTCTGGGAGGCAGAGGCAGGAGGATGGCTCAAGGTCAGGAGTTTGAAACCAGCCTGAGCAAGAGCGAGACACCATCTCTACTATAAATAGAAAGAAATTAATTGGCCAACATATATATTAGAAAAATTAGCCAGGCATGATGGCGCATGCCTGTAGTCCCAGCTACTCGGGAGGCTGAGGCAGTAGGATTGCTTAAGCCCAGGAGTTGAGGTTGCTGTGAGCTAGTCTGACTGCCATGGCACTCACTCTAGCCTGGGCAACAGAGTGAGATTCTGTCTCAAAAAAAAAAAAAAAAAAATTAGAATAACGTCAGATCTAAGATCCTTTGATAGGAAAAGAAAGAAAAAAATTAGAATAACACAAAATTTCTCTCTTTTTCTTCATGAGTAAAACTTTCCTAGAGTTTGTTAGTATAAACTTTAGAATTAAACAACTGAGGAGGAGAATAATAATAAACCTTAAATAGAATAAAGATTACCCCTATATAAATAATTATATTTTTTATAAGTACACAGATTGAAGAAGACTACTTTAATCATATTTAATAAAATTATTTTCCCTGGAGGCCGGGCGCGGTGGCTCACGCCTGTAATCCTAGCACTCTGGGAGGCCGAGGCGGGCGGATTGCTCGAGGTTGGGAGTTCGAAACCATCCTGAGCGAGACCCCGTCTCTACTAAAAATAGAAGAAATTAATTGACCAACTAAAAATATATACAAAAATTAGCCGGGCATGGTGGTGCATGCCTGTAGTCCAGCTACTTGGAGGCTACGGCAGGAAGATCGGCTTGAGCCCAGGAGTTTGAGGTTGCTGTGAGCTAGGCTGACGCCACGGCACTCACTCTAGCCAGGGCAACAAAAAGTGAGACTCTGTCTCAAAAAAAAAAATTATTTTCCCTGGAAAAGTATAAAGTATAAAAAGTACAAATATGTTTTTTAATCAAATATATAAAATTAATGAAAAACTAAAAAGAATTAGGACTTTTATTTTCTTTCTGTATTAAAAATTATATACCTTAATCACCAGTATATTTTGTGACTTGGAGATATTCTAATTAAATGAGTTTACTAATCAAGAACTGAATAAAAATTCCAATATCCAAAAGCTCAAATGTTTCTCATTTAAAAGGGGCTTAATTTCAACCACAAAGTTTTTTTTTTACTGAAATATATGAGGAAATCACTGCTGAAACATCTTTCATGATTCTATTGACTATAAAATAAAATCCAAACTCCTTAGCTCAACATTCAAGATTCTCTTCGATTTGTTCTCATTTTCCCCCATATATTTCTATCTTCTCTTATTCCCTTAGCTTGACTCTTCTTTAAGAATGCCACTTGCCTCAACATTCTTTAAGTCTGCATTCCCTAAACCCTGGGCTATAGACTAGTAGCAGTCCACGAGTGAGGACCAGGGCCGCACAGCAGGAGGTGAGTGGCCAGGGAGCGAGCAAAGCTCCATCTCTATTTACATCTACTCCCCATCTCTTGCATCACTGCATAAGCTCTGCCTCCTGTTAGATCAGCAGTGTTAGATTCTCATAGCAGCACAAACCCCACTGTAAACTGAGCTTTTGAGGGATCCAGGTTGCGTGCTCCTTATGAGAATCTAATACTTAATAACCTGAGGTGGAGCTAAGGCAGTGAGGGGCGCTGGGAGTGACTACAAATACAGATTATCTTTAGCAGGGATGTTTAACTGCACAACAAATGTAATGTGCTTGAATCATCTCAAAACCATCCCCAACATCTCCAGTCCATGGAAAAAACTGTCTTCCTTGAAACCAGTCCCTGGTACCAAAAAGTTTGGGGACTGCTGCTTTAAATAGAAAAATATTGTTTTTCAATTAATATGAAATCCCTTGGAGACCCTTGGGCAATGTTTAGGATGAATGATGCCAGATATGCTTTTCCAAGAAATTAACCAGAAATATTTCATGTTGTCTATATTACCTTGACATCACCATATATAACATTATGCAATATACAATACCTTCTCTACTACAAATCTATTTTCTAAGGTACTTGTAACAGCTGAACTATTTAACACCTTAAGAATACTCTATGATCCTACTGAAGACTTAGCTTGCCTATTTACAAAATGCCCGCATAAGTGTCTATCAGTTTTGTATTATACTCAAAGGTTAGACTCATGCCAATTCAAAGTTAGGCTGGTCTGTAATCTAGAGTAATATGCCTAGCCCATCTACATAAATGTACAGATTATAGTTTTGCCAATATACAGCTCTCACTCACCTAAAGCCCCCTTTGAGCAAGGAGTTTTACGCACAAAGAAAAAGCTACTATTTTCTTACCAAAGCAATATTTTAACTTATAAATGTATCATTATTACTAGTTCTTATTACAAATAAGACAAATACATAACAGTCCTGATGACATGAAAATATGCTGTCACATGATTAATCAGACTGGCAAAAATTTAAGATTAAAAGTATAATGTGTGGCACAGGAAAGGGGCCTCATATAGAGCAATTTATTAGTATTAGTACCTACTTAAATTATAAATACTTATACCTTTTGAGGCAACAATTCCACCCCTCAGTATTTAATCTAGAAAAATAATTTCTCATAAGATGAGTGCAAAGAGCGATTTTATTCATAGCATAGCTTAAATAGAGAAAAATTGAAATCAATTAAAAATCCTTCAACAAGAGAATAATTAAACTACAGTATGCTACATGGTAGATAAAAAGAATATGGTAGATTTTTAGGATTTATGTTAAAATTAAAAAGCAGGTTGTAGAACAATACATACACCTCAAAATCACGTTTATATATATATATATATATACACACAAACATAATTTTTACATATGCAAATGCTTAGATACTTAGAATAATATTTATAGAAGACAGAATTCCAACTTCTGTACTGCTGGCCTAACCAGGATGGCACAATAACAAAGGCTGCTAGATCCCTCTCCTAAAACCAACCTTGGAGTATCTATAGAAGTGAAAAGAAACCACAGACTCTGGGAAGTAAAATAAAAATCATAAAGAACCAGTAGGAAAGACTGATAGCTAACTTGAACTGGTGTGTTTGGGCAGAAAGGGACTGCATCCTGGGGAGGAGCATGGCTAGATGGAGTTAGTGAGAGGAATGACTGGAGGAAAGTGCTTGCTTCTTTCTCCCATTAACTTGACATCATCATTGCTTGCCCCTTATTGACAAAAATCTTGGCAGCAACCCAGGCTGCAGATGCTGGTAACCCTGAGTAATACCGGGGAGCACGAAAGTCTAGCTCTGGTGAAATCTGGCCAGGAACCTATTCCTGGGCACTCATTCCTTCACCTTCTTCCCTTCCAATCCCTAGGACTGATGGATTACAAAACTTCCCAAAGCAAGTTCTTCCTAGGAGTTTATAGATAAAATTATCACCAGAAGAACTAAATAGTAGAGTAGCAGCAAACAGCAGTGACAATGACTAACAGTGGTTCTGTGCTGCCTAGGACTCTCCTCCCTAGGGTTTATCTCCTGCCCCCTTCTCAATTCTCTGAAACAGACGATGGTCTGGTTTTACTGTTACCCCTATCAATTCAAACAGAATAACTGATCCCTCCCCCACCAGTGGAACACAATCTCATAAGTCAAAAGACCCGATTCCTGAGGAGCCAATAAGTGTTAAAAAAAAAAGACAACAAAATGAAAGAATTTTGTTCAAAATGAATTACACATACACATACATACAGAGCAATAAGGACAGATATTAGAATGCAAAGCAAAAAATCATAAAAAAAGAACCAAGTAAGCATATCAGGCATAAGAAATTGGGGAGCTCTCCCAGAAGCAAGTAGACAAGAATAAAGAGAAAAATCTAAGAGATAAGAAAAAAAGAAGTAGAAGTCTATATATTTTTTTTGAAGTCTATATTAATATCTGGAAACAAGAGTTCTAGGGAGAGAGGGGAAAAAATGAGAGGCAGAAAAAATTGAAGAAATAATGGAGATAAATTTCCCAGCATTAAAAAGATGAAAAGGTCTGATAGAATTTAATGAATAAATTAACTGAATTTAATGAATAAATTAACTGATATAATTTCCTGCCATTTTGGCAGGAAATTAGTGAAACTTTTAAATTATGCTGATACTTTTACTTTTTGCTACCTCTTTTGTGCCATTTGCTTGTTTCATTCTCATTCTCTCTGCTTACTGGTTTTATATTAAGATCTTAGTTTATGTAGCTATGAGTGCTTTCTCAAATTTAGCAACATAGCCATCACAACTAATATTTTTCCACTGAAATCAATTTCAGTCAATAACTAACTGAAGTTGCAGAAAATTTGATTATTTTTTAATAAGAAAGAATAAGTTAAGTTTTTATTTCTTCCATTACTAAATTTTATATCTTCTCCTCTCTTTCTTTCTTTTTTTTTCTTGAGACAGAGTCTTGCTCTGTAGCCCCAGCTGGAGTAGAGTGGCATCATCATAGCTCACTGCAACCTCAAACTCCTCAAGAAACCTTAAGATTATCCTTTAAAAACTCTTCTTCCTAACCTCCCTCCACCAATGACTAATTACTCTCAATCCTATGCCCTTAAATTTAGATCTCTCTCCTCTCTACTTCTGCTGTAACTGTCTTTGTTCATGCTCTCAATCTCTCTTGGGTCTACTCAAATGGTGTTCTGACAGACCTCCCATCTCTCCCTCACTTGTCATGGCTGCATACTCCTTCCTGAATATCTTAGTGAGTAATTCCCTTGCCCCCAAACCTTCTTGGGCTCCACAGTGCCCATGCCTTACTGTGGCCCAAATAAAAGTTTCTTTATGATCATCTGGTTCAACCTACTTCTCCAGACTTACCTGACAGGTTATCTAAACTTCTAGCCACACTGATATTTTCAATACTTTCTAAATATGCCCTGATATTTCTTGGCTCTTATCCCTTACAACCTTTTTTGGCACCAAGAACCAGTTTCATGGAAGACAATTTTTCCACAGATGGAGGGGGTGGGGGGCAGAGTTCAGTCAGTGGTGTGAGCGATGGGGAAGGGAGCAGCTCACCCCCTGCTGTGCCGTTCCATGGAATTCCACGGAGAGCTCTTCAGACTGACTGGCTGCAGACCAGTACTGGGGCTTGGGGACCACGGCATATGCTATTTCTGTTTCTAACATGTCCTTCCCTTTCATCACTGCCTGCAAAGTCCTACTCAGATTTTAAAGACCTAGATCAATATAATATCCTATATGAAGTGTCTTCCTACTTTAAGCAGAATCTTCCCTCCTTCGAATTCATACAGCACTTGTGAATATATCTATTTGATCAGTTACTACATTGTTGAGTAATTACTTGTTTAAATCCTGTCCTCTAACATCACAGTAAGCTGCTCAAAGGTAGGGATCATGTCTCATTCATCTTTCTATCTTTTCCAAGATTATGTCTGGCATATAATAGATACTCAGTACACGGCTGCACAATGAATGAATGATCTTCACAAGGCCTCAGTTTTTTCAAATGTAGAATAAGAAGGTTGGAATAAATGGTCTGAATTCCTTTCAGTTGTAAAACTACAGTTCTATGATTCCAGGTTAAAGATGCTACAACTCTGACTCCTGAGTAAGTGAAATATTTGCATACTTTCACTAAAAGTTGGAAGATTTTACCTTTTTCCCGTATTTATATCTAACAAAAAAAAAATCATTAAGGTTAAAAAGTACCTCTGAATGACAGACTGCTTGCTGTAAAATTAAGGATTCCTGGTTTTGTTTAGCAAGAAGAGAAAGAATTACATCTGCATGAGATTTTTTATGGGGCATCCTAATCACTTGTCCTTCACTGGGAGAATCATCTTCCTAAAAGAAACATAAAGTCAATTAATCCAACAAAAAATTTATAAAACAATTGCATTTTTCTCGATTTATGCTTAGTGAAAACTTAGCAGTCATCAAATGATATTAGCATTTTTTGGAAAGAAAAAGAACTATTTCATCTAGGTTTCATTTCCATTTGACTATAATAAAAACCCTTTACATTTGGCTCAACTACAGGCAACAGTATGAAGTAATTTGTAATATTTAACTGGAGATTTATTATAAAAACATAAAACTGGACCCTCTGTTCCATGCAATTGAATATAGTGATTCATAAATGTCTTACATAGTGTCATCAAGTTTTTAGCTCTCACGATTTCCTGCTTCATATGTATGCAGTGCACAAAGCAATGCCACAGTATGGCAATGAGGGCAAAGCATTGTGATGATGCTGCCAACCAGAACACAGGCAAAAATAAAAAACTGCAGAAATATGCTATGGCATCTGTAGAGCTTTTGTATACATCTCGCTTATGTGGCTAGAGAGCAGGTCATGAAAGCCCTCACTGGAGCACCTTACCTAGGCTTCTTCATGCCTCAAAACAGATCTGTCCCAACAATGACAGACAGCGTGGGCCTCAGAGTCAAACAAACTGGATTCCTTTGATTTTAAATTCATCAAAAATATTCTTAATTATTTTATTTTTGAGACAGAAGTCCTCGCTTGCCCAGGCTAGAGTGAGTGCTGTGACATCAGCCAAGCCCACAGCAACCTCAAACTTCCTGGGCTCAAGTAATCCTTCTGCCTACCTCCGATAGCTTGGACTTACAGGCATCGCGCCAACCATGCCCGGCTGTATTATATATATATATTATTAGTTTGCCATTTAATTTATTCTATTTATAGTAGAGAACGGGGTCTCACTCTTGCCAGGCTGGTTTCAAACTCCTGACCTTGGAGCAATCCGCTCCGCCTCGGCCTCCCCAGAGTGCTAGGATTACAGGCCGTGAGCCACCGCACCCGGCCTTATTTTATTTTTAATGAAATAAAGTTTATGAACTTGGCCGGCATGGTGACTCACGACTATAATCCTAGCACTCTGGGAGGCAGATTCGGTTGGTGATGTTTGAGTTCAGAAGTTCGAGACTAGTCTGAGCAAGAGCAAGACCTCGTCTCTACCAAAAGTAGAAAGAAGTTACTTGGACAGGTGAAAATAACAGAAAAAATTAGCCGGGCATGGTGGCGCATGCCTGTTAGTTCCCAGCCTACTCGGAGGCTGAAGGCAAGTTAGCGATGCTTGACCCAGGAGTTGAGTGGCTGTTGAGCTAGCTGACGCCATGGCAATTCTAGCCCGGGCGAACAGAAGGAGACCGCTGTCATTCATCATTCATTCTTTCATAAATAAATAAAAAATTAAAGTTTATGAACTTGAATTCACAAGCCCTATATCCCCCAGCTGCATATAGATCAAATGTCTACTGGTATGTGTGACTTCATTTATTCTGCGTTTTTTCCGTTTATACTTTTTTGCAATTTGGATTATCATGAATTTGTTACCATATCTGATTTAAGGCATGTTAAAAAATACCAAATTAGAAAATTAGTTCAAATGTAAACAAAAGAAGTTTAATATTAGCTTCTGGTTTCAGTTTAGCTATTTACTTTAAAAGAAACTTAAACCTCTTTGGGCATCTCCGATAAAGTTCTCGAAGAATTTGATAAAATGCTATTAATCAGCATATTAAAAGGTCGCAAATGTCGTATGAATGCTTTCTGAAATTAAAAATCTGTCATTTATGCGCTTCTTTCCATTATAGTTCATTAAAGATAATTGTACTTTCTTCACAATCAGCCAATTTAATATAATAATCACTGGTTAAAAAATATCTATAAAATCTTTCAAATACCTTAACATCGGGCGGGCGCGGTAGCTCACAACGCTAATCCTAGCACTCTGGGAGGCCGAAGGCGGGCGGATTGCTCCCAGGTCAAGGAGTTCAAAACCACCCTGACCAAGGCAAGACCGCGTACTCTACTAATAAATAAAACAAATTATGGCCTACGTAATACTATATAGGAAAAATTAGCCGGCGGATGGTGGGCATCTACGCTCTGGAGCTAAAGGCAACAGGATATGCTTGAGCCCAGGAGTTGGAGGTTGCGGAGCTAGGCTGATGCCATGGGCACCTCACTTGCAAGCCCTGGCAACAAAGCAAGACTCTGTCTCAAAAAAAAAAAACAACTTCTTAATGATATATTTTATATTTCCATGTGAAATAACATTTTTGAATAAAAAACAGATGCTTAGCAAAAAACATGGATAAATGTAGGTGACAGCTGAGTATAATTACCTTCCCTTGCTTAGGTTGTTTGAAAATATATAAAAAGTAAACATTTCCATTCCATTCCTAGTCTTTTCAAAAGAAAATTCCTATGATCATTTCTGTATTATATTTATATTATATATATTTTTAAATGCCAATTTTTTCTTCTATAGAGCTATATAATAACTAAGGTTAGTATCTCTAGATCTCATTTTTTTTTTCTTTTTAAGTCATTAAATTTAAATATTTATTAGTATAAAAAACTATAATCATGGTTATGGAAAAATAACAAATGTATTATAAGAGAGTTGGTTTAAATAGCTAAGATCCTGCTTAAAATATTGTAAAGATAACATATCCAGGTGACAATCTTCACTAAGCTAGATTTCATTACCTAATTACATTAAATGTGTATTTTCAACTATAGTCACAAACGTTAATAATTTTTTTATTTGTACAATTATAAGATTACATAATGAAATATGCAGGAAACAAATTCTTTCATGAATATTTTACTAAATTTTGTATATATAACTCAAATAATTGAGAAAAAACTGATCAATTGCAACAAGTTCATCAAGATATTCTACCTGTCAGAATTCAATATTGGAGTCAATCACATTACTTACCATTTCAAGAACATCATGCAGAGTGCTGGATAAACTATCATTTAGGTTTGTCAGATACAGTCCATCATCTCCTAAAACTAAAAATTAAAATGTAAAAATGTAGGAAAAAGGAGAAATATAAACTTAGTAAATAATCTTACCATAAAGCCACAGAACATTAAATTTTAATTTATACTGCCATGCAAATACTGGCAAAGTTCATAAACAAGCAATTCACAAACTACTCAATCTCATCAGTTTTCTTAAAAGTGCAATTTATAACAAAGATGGGATTTTTGTTTCACCCACCAGCTTATCAGAAATTAAAAAGAAGTATAAATATTAACTGTAGCTATGAAATTGAGAAACAAGCAGCTCTATATACTGTTAATGCAATTAAAAACAGATTCAAATTAAAAGCTAAAAGCTTTACCAGAGAGTATGTTGGCTATGTATCAGTATTTTAAAGTAGACTTAGCAACGCCACTTCTAGGCATGTACTCTAACGAAGTTATCAAATAAGTGCACAAAAATATATATATAGTACATGCAAGGATGATCATTAGATAATTGTGTGTAGCCTGGAAACATTGAAAACAATCTAAATGCCCTTCTCTAATGGCATTGTTTAAATAGACTACACAGCTATTAGAAAAATGTGGTAGACCTCTATGTATTGATATCAAAATACGTCCATGATATATTATTAGGTAAAAAAATTCAGGTTTCAAAGCAATATGCATAGCATGATTCTATTTTTAAAGGTAAGCACACATATACATGCACATGTATTTAGGTGTTGACATATGCACAGACAAACAAAGACTGGAAGGGCATATCTCAGACTACTAAGAATGATATTATTTCTGGAAGGTGGGATTATGAGGGAAATTTTCCTTCTCAAATTAAGATCCAGAAAAGTTAACTAATTGTGTAGTGCCCCTAGTTTTTCTACTTTACCATGTTACATCTTGAAAATTAAGTAAAAACACTTTAAACAGAAAAGCATTACTTAAGGAATTATAATCTAACCAGTGAAAGCAATTAATACAAATTAACTTACTCTTGGGAGCCAATTTTTGACCACAGCTAAATAAAATCTCTCCTTCAGAGATGGGTCTATCTAAAGTTTCTGTTTCAGTGACAGTAACAGTCAAGGTGCTCTCCAGTGTTGATGAATCAGAATTTGGCATCTGTGGGGGGGAAGGAGCCTTGCTGCCCGCAGGAAATGGCGTAACAGGAACTGGCTCTGGAGGTGCAGGCTGGGCAGGGAAATCTAGAACACTGTCAGGTTCTTCATCCTTAGCCACAGACATTACGCTAAAAAGATAAAGACATATTTTGAACTTATTAGATCACTAAAGGCCTATATTAATTTTGATATAAAAAGCAGATTCAAAGATACCATGTCTCCTTTAGCAAAGTATTTGTATAATCTGGACTGATTAACAAGATTTATTTTTCTAAAATTATTTTCATCCATTGATCATAGGTCATCTTGAAAGCTCTTCTAGCCATAAAATAGGAGAAATTATTTTCTATATTATTAACACTATGATAGATATCTTTATTTTAATCTGTTTTAAATGTTTTCAGAAAAATGTAAAGGTATAAATAAATTTGATAAAAATTTTTTAAAGTTAAAATTTATGAAATTTCTTTCTTCCAAACTATAAAGTAGTTTGTGGTTTATAAATCTTTGTTTATCACTTCTATGTTTTAATGGGTTATGTAAATCAAACTTAAGTTGGAATGTACAGTTACTGCTGAATTATGTTCTCATTTACATAGCTGTTGGGTGAAGAAGTTCTTCTTGAAGAGGGTTAGGGTTCTCTTCTTCCAGTGGCAGGTCTCCATCACCCCATGGCTTAGGAAGCTCTGGGCTTGAGACTTTCAATTTATCAATGGAAATTTCTGACAAAGTTGGAGTAAGAGCTGCTGCTGGAGGCGGTGTAGCAGTAGGAGTAACTGCCGGAGTAGTAATAAGTGTGACAGCAGGCATATCATTTCCTACAGATTTTTTTTAAAAAGATAAAAAAAGGTAAAAGTCAGTAAACAACTCCATAGGAAGGCAAGAAATGTTGTTTCAGATATCCCTTAATATTTTGGCATATAAATAAATAATGGTAATAATAATTAATAATATTAACAATGATGATGGTGGTGGCCGTTAATGGGAAAGTTCCTAAATTAATTTAATAAAGCATTAAAAAACAAAATCTTGAAAAGACATCATTTTTAATACCACCATATATGTAAAGGGGTCTAGAGCATGTATTTGATTACATACTCTAAGCAATGGTAACAAATTCTTTGGATTCATTGCAAGAAACAATTATTTACTAAAACCTAGTAAGCAATAAGTATGTACATATTAATCTATAAAGCATCTTATAAAACAATCATGAAATTTTATTTAGTAGTTGCTAAAATTAAAACTGAGTTACAGAAATTAGGTTTCTACCTTTTTCAGCAAATATTTCTTTTGTAGGAAAAGACACATCATGATCTGAAACACAGGGAGAAGAATCTGGAGTTTTTACCAGCACATGCTCCTTAGGGGGTGATGAAGGTGAATGAGGAGGCGTAGGCTGTGGGGTAGCCACTGGGGTACACACTCTTGCCTAAAACAAAATAATGCAACAAGATAAATTGTGCTTATAATCACCCAAGTAACAGTAATTTGAAATAATAATGTGAGCTCATTGATAAACTACATAGAATTTAAATGAATCGGGATGAGGAATTAAGCCTTCAGCACTCTGGCTCATGAATATCTACCTTTTAGTCTAAGATTGGCCGGCAGAAAGCCTCAGGCAATTGAAGTAACTCTGCCTTTGAAGTAGGCCCCGAAGAAATCTAAGGCACTCTCTTTTAAAATATAGAGGAAGACTACACAGATAAAACTGAAAATTAAATCCAACTACAAACTTGAAGGATAGGCCATGCAACAGAAAAGAAGCATTTTAACTGGTTGACAAGATATCAAAAAATCAGCCTTTTAGCACAAGCAGTGTAAGGATAAGAGAAAGTGAAGAGTGGGTAGAGATAAAGACAAAACAGAAATGGAAAGTACTGGTGAAGGAGTAAGTAAACAAACAATTTCATATTAATTTGTTGAACAGGTAATCATTCAAATGGTTCAAAATTCAAAAGATACCAAGGGGTGATAGTCAAAATTAAGCTTCCCCTCCTCCTTACGTCCTCTCTACCTAGATCCCTCCCTATGAGTTGTGAAATAATCTTGACTTAAGTCATTTTATATGCATACAATATGGAATAAATTCCCAGAAGTGAGATTGCTCTGTTAAAGGGTTAATTGCATTTTGAATTTGAATAGATTTTGGGCAATTTGTATTTCTTGTGTGTGAACCGTTTGGTCCTAACCTTTGACCATTTTTAAAATACATTATTTGTCTTCTTCTCATTCTAAAAAATATTTATATATTAAGGTGATTAGTCTTTCTTCTATACTATGAATTGCAAATTAATATGCAATTTAAAACCATGAAGCGTAACAGAAATTCTATAGCATTGCTTAATAATTAGCATATTCTTAGCCTTCATTTTTAAATGAAAGATACCCATTTTTTTTCTTCTTCACTACATACTTATAGCATAAAAGCATTGTTTTCAAATATAACACTACTGGCTCATCATCATGAAAAGATGTGCAGGTGTTAGGCAGACAGCGAAGGATTCTAGGTCTCCAAGGGACGAGAAAGTGGGTGCCTTGCCTTGGTGTAATTGTCCCACCTGGGAAGACAGACAAGGGTGGGCCCCAGGCCCCCACCTTGGTCCTGCCCCACCTTAATCCTGTCCCAAGCTATTACCATATCTGGGGGAAGAAGAAAAACCCTACAAATCTGCCAATCAGAACTCAGCAAGACAACTGCAAAAGAATACAGAGAACTCTATAGCACACAGGCCAAGCAGCATAGGTACAATAGTCTTGAAAGTGACCTAGAACAAATGGCTTTTAGAGACGCTCATCGGAGATCCGCATGTATAGTAAGACTTAGGTCATATAACTCCCAACTGTCCAAAGTGGTTTCATGGTGATGTCTGAGCCATGAGGGAGGTCCCAATCCAGGCACTATAAAACAAGACCCAGACCACAATCAAGCCCCTACTTTTGCTCTCACTTTGCTGCTACAATGGGTCCAGTTGTCATCTGTGGCGTATGTATCACATTCTGTAAACCTGTATCTTGCTCTATATAATCCTATCTTTTTCTCCTCAATAAAGCTCATTTTCATGCTTGCCTTACTTTGGTGTGTCTGGTGATTCTTTGTCTATGAGTGCATTTCAGACCCTGAAACCCAACACAGGTGTTCTTCTAGTATAGGTAATGGATAATGATGATAATAAACTATTAGTCTAATCGCTGAGTATTTAACAAATTCCAGGCACACCTACATTAATCCTTTTTCATATATCATCTCATTTAATCTGCCACAAACCTCATATGATGGCTAAGACCAGGCAGTATCATAAAGATGTCAATCCTCCCTAAATGAAACCAATCAAAATTGGATTAATTCCTATAAAAATCCCAACAAGATTTTTTTGGTGAAACTTAAAAACTAATTTTATTCATTGATTGACACAGGGTCTCACTCTGTCACCCAGGCTACAGTGCTGTGGCATGATCATAGCTCACTCCAGCCTCTAACTCCTGAGCTCAGGCCATACTCCTGTCTCAGCCTCCCAAGTAGCTGGGAATGCAGCCACAGAGATGGGGGTCTTGCTGTGTTGCTAAGGCTGATCTCGAACTCCTGGCCTTAAGCAATCCTCCTGCCTCAGCCTCCCAAAGCACTGGTACTACAGGCTGGAGCTACTGCACCCAGCCAAAAATATGTTTTTAAGTTTAAACTGAAAATATACATATAATATCCATAAATGTGTATAAATATATATTTGAGAGAGAAAAAGGCTAAGAAAAGCTATGACAATTCTGAAGATAAGGAATAATAAATTGGGGAAGGGCCAGGGAGAAGGAGGGCTTGCTCTGCTAGATATTCAGTAGGCAGAATTTGGTAAACCCATGATCGTTTAAACTCTAAATATTCTATCTCTATTATATAGATAAGATTAAAGTAACAGAGCTTGGTATTCAAATTCAGGTCTCACTCCAAAGTTCTGGCTCTTAACAATTACATAAACTGCCTATTTACACTGGCTTTTCCATATTTTCTCTTTCAATCACCCTCATGAAAATGCAGTCTGTGGGCAGAAAACAAATCAAAGTAATTGGCACAGAGAAAATAATTAACTCTAACCACACCTGTACTGCATATATTACCAATGAGCTAATAAAGCACAGATCAAAACTGTATTAAATCTTTGGCACACTAATTACATTACACAACACCAATCTCTATAAAAGTCAAATACAGTATATAACTTTATACATGAAATGAATCAGTTTAAATATTTCTCCTATATAAAATGATGTTCTCAGTGATCTATAGGATCAGAAGTGACTACAGAGTTCTAAACAGCTGGTAATACAGAGTAAATTTTGGCTTTGTAGAATTTCATGTTGCTATAATACATTAGAAATTCTACTTAACATAATAAGCCTGATTAAATAAGCAATAATAAACCTTTCTGAAATATATTTTCTTTTAAAGGTCAAAAATATCAGTTTACATAATAACTCAAAAGCAACATGTGATTCTTGGCTATATCCTGAATTTTAAAAAAATCTACAAATGATATTTTTGGAACAACTGGGGAAATTTAAATATGGTCTCTATAATTCTATCAATGTTATTAATAAACTTGGAGGTATGATTATGGTACATTAGTTATAAAAGAAAATATCTGGTTCTTAGGAGATACTGCTGATGCTTTTGAGGTCAAGTGCTACGATGTCTGCAACTTTCAAATTTTTTTTTACGGTGGCTCACACTGTAATCCTAGCACTCTGGGAGCGAGGGGCGGATTGCTCCAGGTCAGGAGTTAAAACCACCCTGAGCAAGGGCAAGACCCCGTCTCTACTATAAATAGAAACAAATTAATTGCACTAATATATATAGAAAAAATTAGCCGGCATGGTGGTGCATGCCTGTAGTCAGCTACTCGGGAGGCTAAGGCAGCAGGATTGCTTGAGCCCAGGAGTTTGAGGTTGCTGTGAGCTAGGCTGACGCCATGGCATCACTCTAGCCTGGGCAACAAAGCAAGACTCTGTCTCAAAAAAAAAAAAAACAACTCCTTAATGATATATTTTTATTTCATGTGAAATAACATTTTTGAATAAAAAACAGATGCTTAGCAAAAACATGGATAAATGTAGGGACAGCTGAGTATAATTACCTTCCCTTGCTTAGGTTGTTTGAAAATATATAAAGTAACACATTTCCATTCCATTCCTAGTCTTTTCAAAGAAATTCTATGATCATTTCTGTATTTATTTATATTATATATTTTTTAAATGCCAATTTTTTCTTCTATAGAGCTATATAATAACTAAGGTTAGTATCTCTAGATCTCATTTTTTTTCTTTTTAAGTCATTAAATTAAATATTTATTAGTATAAAACTATAATCATGGTTATGGAAAATAACAAATGTATTATAAGAGAGTTGGTTTAATAGTAAGATCCTGCTTAAAATATTGTAAAGATAACATATCCAGGTGACAATCTTCACTAAGCTAGATTTCATTACCTAATTACATTAAATGTGTATTTTCAACTATAGTCACAAACGTTAATAATTTTTTTATTGTACAATTATAAGATTACATAATGAAATATGCAGGAAACAAATTCTTTCATGAATATTTTACTATTTTGTATATTATACTCAAATAATTGAGAAAAAACTGATCAATTGCAACAAGTTCATAAGATATTCTACCTGTCAGAATTCATATTGGAGTCAATCACATTACTTACCATTTCAAGAACATCATGCAGAGTGTGGAATAACCTATCATTTAGGTTTGTCAGATACAGTATCATCTCCTAAAACTAAAGATTAAAATGTAAATGTAGGAAAAGGGAGAATTAAACTTAGTAATATCTTACCATAAGCCACAGAATTAAATTTTAATTTATACTGCCATGCAAATACTGGAAAGTTCATAAACAAGCAATTCACAAACGACTCAATCTCATCAGTTTCTTAAAAGTGCGCAATTTATAAAAGATGGGATTTTGTTTACCTACGCAGCTTATCCGAAATTAAAAAGAAGTTAATATTAACTTAGCTATGAAATTGAGAACAAGCAGCTCTATATACTGTTAATGCAATTAAAACAGATTCAATTAAAGCTAAAGCTTTACCAGAGAGTATGTTGGTATGTATCAGTATTTTAAAGTAGCTTAGCAACGCCACTTCTAGGCATGTACTCTAACGAAGTTATCAAATAAGTGCACAAAAATATATATATAGTACATACAAGGATGATATTAGATAATTGTGTGTAGCCTGGAAACATTGAAAACTCTAAATCCCTTCTCTAATGGCATTGTTTAAATAGACTACACAGCTATAGAAAAATGTGGTAGACCTCTATGTATTGATATCAAATACTCCATGATATATTATTAGGTAAAAAAATTCAGGTTTCAAAGCAATATGATGCATGATTCTATTTTTAAAGGTAGCACACA